TTTCAGCATCATTACTCCAGTCTTCAGTGTCACATGATCTTCAGAAATCAGTATAATATGCTGATTTATTATCAGAGCTGGAAACTGTTGCTGCTTCATATTTCTTTGGAACCTGTTATACTTTTTTTCAGGATTCTATGATGAATAAAAAAATTAAAAAGAAGAGCATTTATTTAAAATAGAAATATTTTCTAACAATATACACTACCATTCAAAAGTTTGGGGTCGGTACATTTTTATTTAAAAATTTTTTTGAAAGAAATGAAAACTTTTATTCAGCAAGGATGTGTTAAATTGTTAAGAAGTGATAGCAAAGATTTATATTGTTAGAAAAGATTAATATTTTGAATAAATGCTGTTCTTTTGAACTTTTTATTCATCAAAGAATCCTGAAAAAAGTATCTCAGTTTCCAAAAAAATATTTGGCAGCACAACTGTTGATAATTCTGATAATAACTCAGCATATTAGAATGATTTCTGAAGATCATGAGACACTATACTGGAGTAATGATGATGGAAATTCAGCTTTGATTCACAGAAATAAATTATATTTTAAAGTATATAAAAAAATAAACCATTATTTTATATTGTAATAACATTTTGCAAGATTAAGTTTTTTTTCTGTATTTTTGATCAAATAAATGCAGCCTTGATGAGCAGAAGACACTTCTTTAAAAAACATTGCAAGTCTCACTGATCCCAAACTCCTGAACGGCAATGTCTTTCAGATTCCAAACTTTTTACACTTAACCCCGGTTGCCATTAAGAAGCACTGTGCGGCCCTGAAGCGTGAGTTTGAAGACTGATAATGTTTTCAACATTGGACAGCAGTTGATAACATGCAAATATTATGTGGGTGTAAATAAGAGAGAGATTCCTCCCCGTTTCATTTGTCCAGAGTTCTTTAAATTTCTGTAAAGTTGCTTTGCAACGATTTGTATCGTGAAAAGCATATACAAATAAACTTGAATTGAATTAAAAGATGGATCAGATATTGAGTCAAAATATAGTCTGGCGTTATGCTTATTAGTAGAATTATTTACGATGACGGGCTCAATATTTACACTTAAAGGTCACATATTTTACACCTTTCTGGAGTTTTATTTTAGGTTTTGATGTCCTTAAGAATATATATTTGCAGCATAAGTACCAAAAACCATCTCAATATATTTTTACAGTCGATTTTGGCCTATCTAATTAATATTCATGATCCTCTCTTCTGATTGGCCTGTTGTTTTCTGAGTGACGCACGGCCAGGCTAACCACAGGTAACTAGGTTCATGTATGCAATAAAGGTGGCAAAGCAGTACAATATTATCAATATCATAAGTTTGAAGTGTCAATTCACTTTTGTTCACACTTCTGTTTGGAATGGCATCAGTAAATAATGGCAAAATTTTCATTAAGTGAACTATCCCTTTAAGCATGAGCAATAATAATAATGATGCTTGCCTTGGCAAACCCCACAAATCATTATTGATCATTGATAGGATTGTGATCCGCTTCTGTCTGATGGACGTAGATCTGCTTTCTGTCCTCCTGTGTTTGAATCACAGGAGAGTCTCTCTGATGTCTGACATTCAACACATGAATATTTCACATCTCTATTGTACCTGAACTCTTATGAAAGCGGCGTGGACTTCCATGACGAGACCCCTGCGGGACGACATAAAACGATAGGATGAGGGGGGCACGAATAAAGATAGGAACAGAGCTTCTGAATCCACAACATCCTTGTTTTTTTACATCCTCTGCCTTTAGATTGAAACCTGGAATTTATTTATATTTATTTATTTATTTTCAGGCCTGAAAAAGTGGAAATGGAAATATTTTGTATTTATTTTTTCTCTGACAAATTTAAAATACATGCCACCCTACTTTTTTTTTATTTTTTATATATTTCAATATATTTAATTTTATATTGTTATTTTATATTTTATTATTTAGACATATAAAATCTTTTTTTTTTATGGCCAAAATATATTTCAAATATTTGCTATATATATATATATATATGTGTGTGTTGTAAACCGTGCAGCTTTAGGCAATTCATTTTTCTTATTGAAAATATATTTCATTTAAGTCTTGAAATGCTAAAATATACAACAACAAAAAACGTGCAAGAAAATGCATTTTCAATCTTAAAATACATTTTTGTTAAATGCATTTAAAATATATATTTTGAACAATATAAATATATTTAGTTTAAAAAAAATTAGGAACTAAAATGTATGTTTGTAAAATATATCAGCAATTATATGTAAAAAATATATCAGATTTTTTAATGAGGGGACCTGTCTTTAATTGTTAATTGGTGTGGAAATCACTAGAAGAAAGGTAATTTGGTTTTCAATTTTTAGTTTAGTTTTAATTCTTACCTTGAGCTTGATCCACAATGTTTAGTTAAACATTAAATCTCTGCTGGCAAACCATCACTCAATTAGTGTCATGATTATCCACCTGATATTCCAGCTGATTAGATGATTGACAGCTGTCTCGTCCAATGAGCAATCGGCGAGTGGAAACGGTGGCTGAATAGAAGCGTCTGATTGGCTGACACGGAGATTCCATTGGAAAAAGCACCTCAGAAGATTCTCATTACAGCACGATGAAACACGTAATCAATAATTCACCTCATATCTCCGCGGAAGAACCGTCTCCGC